GAGCACAGTGGACTGTTGTAACCAAGGGAGACTTTATGAGGGAGGTGAGAGGTGGGCTGGGCCTCACAGAAAGGATACCGCCTGATGCACAGGTGGGTGGGCCCAGGCTTGTGGAGGGTCACAGTGGAAGGCCACGGAAGCCCCACCACTCATCATCAACATTAGGCTTCACTGAGGAACCAACTTTGTCCTAAGAGCTCTCCTTAGCCTATCCTCTCTCTCATGTGTCCAAAGAGAACCTGATAGATATCAGAGTCGTCAACACTTCAGTCATACCAAGAAAAGCAATGGCTCCCTCTGGGGTTTTAGTATCTTTTTTCTGTCATAAATTGGGCTTTAAATTTCACTCAGTCTTTCAGATTCTATCCATTCTAGTGTTCTCTAGGGTTTAATACTTTACTTTCTTAAAATTTTCCTCTTTAACATGGTCATTTATGCTTTTAAGTTCCTCAATCTTCCCTCTCTAGTTTATTTCAATATTTCTTTTTCCTTAAATGACTTTATTCTGTCCTTGACTTATTATCCCCATGCACTTTTATGCCCTTTATCTCTCAGTTCTGCACCCATTTTTCATTTTCTTGTAGGCCATCAGCCACCACTGACCTTCCTTATTGCCTTATTGCAATGCTATCACCAGCTCTAGTAATTAATTATGAACCACTGGCTTTTGTTCAGGCCTCGATTTCACTCAGGCATTCCAAGTTATTCTACACACGTTTTGCCTGATAGGAGCTAGCTAGAGTTAGAGTAGCCAAAGTCACCCCAAAAATGTGCTGCAAAACATTACCCTTGCTGGAAAAGTTTCATCAAAGTTTATAAACCGTTGCTTTTATTCTTCTGGGTCCAATGATTAAATCACAATCATAGAAGATCCCCTTTCAGCCCCTCTTTCGGTATAAGAAAAATGCCTGGAAGTCACTTAGAATAAAGCAGTGAAAGGGCATCAAAGACAATTTCGTTTCCCAGAGAGATCTAGGGATAGGAGACACATCACTGGTCTGAACAACAGCGCCTGAAATTTGAATCGCGCCATCTAAGAAAGCAATTTTCTCCTTTATTTTGTAAATCTTTTTTCCACTACTATATTGAAAGCTGCTTTCAATGTAGTCTGTTCTCCAGGGCTGGGCACAGAAGAGGTAAACAGAACCAGAACTCCAGTAGCAGGTAGGAGAGAATCAGAGCACAGTCATGTGGGGGAGACGGCAGGAGAGGACAGGGTGGGGACTGCGGCATGGCTTTAGGTCCTGGGTTTCCTTTTATTAAATACTATGCTTAAAAACAAATAAAACAAACACAATTTATAAATATTTTTAAAAATTCAAACGAATAAAAAAATGCTACGCTTTTTCAATTCCTTATGATTTCCTAAAGCTTGATTTTTCTCAAACACCAATGACATGATGATCTTTCCTAATTATTACTTTTAAGGGACGGGGAATGGCAGTGACGAAAGAGACAGGAAGGTGAAGAACATGGTTCAAAACCAGCTAAGCTCCGTACATCCATGTGATTTCAAAATTTCTCTACCTTTATGTCCCAGAGATGCTTCAAACTTAAAACTAAGTTCACTGAAAGGTACGAGCAGTTTTTCCAGTCCCTTAAGCCAGAAGCTGGGATGCTGCGCTTCAGTCTTTCTTTTACATTAAACTCAACACAAAGTCCTGTTGATTCAACTTCCTAAATGCCTTTCAAGCTTATCCTTTCTTTATCCTCAAAGCCACAGCTTCACACGGACACATTCATTTCTCACCAAGATTACTGCAACAGGATTCCTGGAAGAGGTGACAGTTAGGCTGAGTCTTGAAAGACAAACAGAAGTTAGCCAAGTAGCAGTTTGTTTATAGAACTGGTCCCTGCTTATAGCGCATAGTGCCCATGTTGGGGACTGGTGGCCGATGAGGAAGGATGGGTAGGCAGGGCACAGGACAGGAAGAGCCTTATAAGCCATGTTAAAGGATGTTTAGATTTTATCCTGAAGGCAAGGGGAACCTACTCGAAGGCTTTAAGCAGTGGAGTGAAATGATTAGATCTATATTTTAGAAAGACCACAAAGGCTTTTTGGAAGCATAAGGAAAATGGCTCGGGGGATAAGATAGAAATGAAAGAGGCCACTTAAGAGGCTGTTGATGAAAAATGATTAGAGTAGGAACTAAGCGGGTGGGAATATATTTGAAAAATGTAAGGATATAATGCACACCGTCATTTTTCATCTCTTCTTTTTAAATCCTTTAGTGTATTTGTGCAAAGGACATCGCCCCACCCCAGCCCCGCTCACTGCACTTACCAAGAATGGGATGGGGGTTGGTGAGGAAAAATGGTGCAGTGCTGGTGAGGACTTCGGCAGCGGCCAGCCTGGACTCTGTGGGAAGGTGATCTCCACAGGCTGAGACGACCAACTGAACCCACTGCTTCAGTTTAGGGGCTACTGAGTCCCTGGTCTGAAAGCACAAAATGTACAGCAGTTCAAAAAATGCCATCGTGGGCTGACATGAAATTAGGGATGACCTACATACATTAAACTGGGTCTGCAAATTAGCTCTTTGCACAGTGGGAAGAAAGACTTTTTAGCTGTTTTTATTTTTCCAATAAAGGAGAAATAAACAAGGCTGGGAACAAAATCAGACTTGTCTTTCAGTAATAAGAAGTCCCTATAACTAGGGAGCAAATTCCTTGAGTCTTTTCTCATGCAAATCAGGTTATTAGAACATTGGTGCATTTGATAGCTTTAATAGACAGAACTTTTGGGGAAAGACTGTGGCAGCAAACAATACCTGTTGTCCCTAGTAACCAGATACTCTATCTTTAAAAAAAGAATCTTGGATTTTTGGCTGGGTATGTGGGCACCTAGCTAAAGACTACATTTCCCAGACTCCCTTGAATTTGGGAGTAACATGTGATTAAGTTCTGATTAATTCAATGTCATTGGAAATGGTATGGGTGCACTTTCAGGTCATACCTTAGGAAATAGATAGTGACCGTCACTTTCTGGGTTGAGAACAGCAGAACTACAAGGAAAGGGCCTGGGGACGCAACACCTTCAAATCCAGTCTATCTGCTTTGAACTGCCTCTACCTGGTTTAAACCACTGTACTGATGAAATTTCTGTTACAACATTTAAGGCAGCATCTTAACATTATTGTTTAAATGAAGTTCTATTTTTTTTAATTTTAATTTTGATATTTTTTGTCATTGAATTTTTTTAATTAAGTTTATTGGGGTAACACGGGTTAATACAATTATATGATTTTCAGATGCACATTATAATTTCGCATCTGTATATTTTATTGTGTTTACCACCCAAAGTCCTTCAGCTACCATATATTTGATCCCCTTTACCCACCTCACCCTCCTCTTACCCCCCTATATTTGATCCCCTTTACCCCGTCCACCTCCCTCCTTCTTCCCCAACCCCTACCCTCTGGTAACTACTAGTCCATTGTCCATGTCCATGAGTCTCTGTTTGTTTGTCCTGTTCATTTGTTGCTTTTCGGTTCCTATTGTTGTTGTTGTTATTGTTGTTGTTTTTGTAGTAACAGCTTTACTGAGATATAATTCACATACCATATAATTTACGTGTTTAAAGCACATATACGTTTCAGTGGTTTTTAGCATATTTACATGTATGTGTAACCATCATCATAATCAATTTTAGAACATTTTCATCACCAAAAAGAGAAACATTTCATTCTCCAGTTATCATTCCCCATCCTGTCATCTGTCCCCTTTCCTAGCCCTAAAGCAGTAATCTACAGTCTCTATGGATTTGCCATTTCTGGATATTTCATATGAATGTAATCATCTAATATGTGGTCTTTTGTGACTGACTGCTTTCACTTAGCATGTAATTTTTAAGGTTCATCCATGCTATAGGATGTATCAAGACTTCATTACTTTTTATGGCTGAATATTCTATTGAATAGATATACCATTGTTTGTTTACCCATTCATCAGTTGATGGACATTTGGGTTGTTTCTATTTTTTAAACCTTGGTTTTTTACTTTTTCTAGAAAAGGAATTATTGTTCTAAATGTACTTTACTTCTCCTATCAACGAAGCCTCTTTAAATGTTCAAAATGAGACTCCTGGCTCCTCTGATTATGATCTTCTGTGATATTAAACTAATGAGCATCATAGACCTTGAAGAAGACTGACTCTCAATGTACAAAAACCCAGGTCTTCTTGGGAACTTCTTTTATGTGTTTCTCTACAGTTTTGCTCTCCCTGGAAAATTTTTCTTTTCCTGGAAAATTCCCAATTTTCATCAAATATCGCTTTATTCAGGTACCTAGACGTACTATTAATATGCACATGACAACTGGATAAAAACGGCTTTACATGAGAACAATGTCTTTTGGTGACTTTGGGCTGCCCTGGGACTACTTTCTTACTTGTTTTTTTCCCCTCTGTGCTGTATTTTTTTTTTTTCCCCCCCGCAAATCTTCTCCCTTCCTACAAACCCTTCCCCCGAAACAAAACTACAACAGACTGTTTTTGGCTTTTTGTAGCTCCTAGTGACCACCTGGCTTTGGTCCCTGCCTTTGAACGAGAGACCCAAGGTAACTAGGTATCTGTTTAATTCTCACCCTCTGGTTTTCTCTCTGCCCAGCCCCTGAACTCTCTCACCCTGTGCTCTCTGAATTTAACAATCTCCTCTGTGAAGTCTTCCTCAGCTCCCCAAACACTCCTCCCTTCCTCCTCTGGGTTCCCGCAGCCTTTCCCAACTAGACATTTAGCGTTACGATCAAACATTCCTTTTCTCTCATTAGACTGTCCCACCAGTTTCTATTCATCTTCGTATCTTCAGAAACTCTCGGTGCTGCTTTATTGTAAGTAATCAGAATCTGCAACGTTATGCCACCACTATCACTGCGTGCTGATGTGTAACAAAGATCTTCAGGTAGTTTTGCTGTAGTATTGACTGCTTTCTACTTATAATAATTTTGTGGTGGTGACATCTTCCTCGTATGCCCCTAAGTATGCATGTATTTGTCTTAAGGCTTCTTCCCAAGATGATCTTTTGATTACTTTAGTTCCACCTCACCCACAAAGGGCATGTGAGAAAGGTGGGGCACATCTGGGCCTCCATGCAGAGCCATCTGGACCACGTTCTGGGAGAATATTCAAGCTTTAGCAAAATGTTTTCATACTTAGTTGACTAGGATGCAATCCTAGTGACCTGCAGTCAGTCCCTGGAATTGACTTGTTCACTCCCTCTTTAAATAAAGAGCCTAGCTAGAAAAAGAAGAAAAAACAAGGTCTGGGCATGTGTGTGTGTGTGTGTGTGTGCGCGCGCGCGCACGTGCACTGGTGCAAAGTTGTGTTAACTCTTGTGGACTCTAATCAAATGCGCCCAGAACAAGAGAAAAGAAATGTCAAAGGTGGTACTCAGAAAATTCTTCAAAAGTTATACACCCAAAGTGAAAAATCAACATGAACAATATTTTCGTGGAGGTTACATACACAACACAGTGATTCTGCCTACTGACACCTTCCAGGTAAAGAACAACACAAAACCCAGACCCCAGAACAGGGGCAGAATCAGCCTTACCTGGTCACACATCCCCATGTGGTGGGCGATGACTCTGGAGGCAAGTCTCAGAGCTACACTTTGAATTTCAGACCTAGAAAAAGTAAGCCAAAAAACACCCCAAAATAAAATCAAACATATTTCATATATAGATTTTTTTTGCAGCTATTCTGTAATCCACGAGGATGTGAATGCTGGAAATCTCCACCTCATGGTTATACAAACACCTCCATACGTAATGACCTTTTGCTTATTAATGTGAAATTCTGACATCACATTCTTTTGCTTGAGCTGAGAACATGCTCCTCAGCTAAGACTTAGAAAGAAACACAGGACCTGGGTCCTTAGGTCAAGATTGTGCTCAAGTTCATTACATGACTAACTGATGGGACCACACCTCATACTAAGTTTGCACAGGGAGCACGGGGGACAAACCTTTCATTGGAAGCAATATCCATTGTCCAGTTCAAGAACTCCTTTGGGGTTAGATGAATATAGCGTTCCGTGTGGGGAAGCCACTCACTGGGGTCCATGCGATGGAGAATTTTCAGTATCTGTGTGGGCAGATCCATGGGGACAAAAAAAACTCAGGAAAAAGTCTCCAAAAGCTAAATAATAATCACTTGTACTGATAAGGGGGTCTATCTTTCAAAAAGCTCCCATTGACTTCTTATTTCCCTCTTAATACCTTTGGGAGACTAAGACAAGGTGGAGCAGTGACACACCTGAGGGACTCTTGTGACCTGGGATCAGAGTCTAGATGCCCAGATTCTTAGGTCAGTGCCCTTTCCTTTTATTATGCTTTCTAGGTGGCCATGTACCCCCAAATAGCCATGTCAGCAAAGAATACCCTCTGACATCTTCTATAGCCAGTTTTCAATGCTGTTTCCTAGAGCACTGAGTGGCTACTCTCAATCTGTCTTTGGTTAATTTCTGTCATCGAAACTATTATCATCAAATACTTTTCATAGTGCCTTTCTATGCATAAAGACATGCCAAGCACCATACAGAGATTCCTTGCCCTCTGGATGCTGAATCTCCTTCCTATTGCTCTGGGGAAGCCAAACTCAACCCCACCTTCATAATCCTATCATTCTTGTAGGCTCGCCAAGGAGTGGGTGGAGTGGAAGGGGACAGTTGGTACACCAGAGACTTCACCTTGCAGAAGCACTCTGGGTGATTTTCCTTCATAGCCAACATCAAGAACGTCTCTCCCATATTCCACAGCAAGGATGGCAGTTCTTTCATTTCTAATCCAGAGGCTGCTGCCGAAAACTTTTCCAATAGGGCTTCCAGTGTCAGCAGGCGCACTTCAGGAAAGGGAGACTCTAATAGTTGAGAGAATGAGATGGGAACATCCCTTGTCTGCTCTCCAGCCTGGGCGGCCACTGCCCATACTGCAGCAATGGCTAGTTTGGTGATGCTCTGGAGGTACTGGGGCAGGCCTGGCGCCGTGAAGGTATAGGGGAATCCCGTTATCAGCTCTGATCCTGAGATGATCTTTCTGACTTCCTCCCAGAAGCCAAGATGATCCAGAACTAAAATGCAAAAAAACAAAGGTAATCACTTAATTCAGAAGTGACATGGGACAATGCAAGACTCTGGATACACTGGGTGTGACTATCAGATGTCTTTCCAGAGTAGATTTCACATAAATGATATAATAAGTGACTTGCCCATTACGGTTCAGATTTCTGGCCCAGAAACAATTTCTATGTAGGTAATTCATACTTTTTCCCCTAGGGGGACAAAAGGCATTCCTATCAGAAGATGTACTCCTGGCATCCCTACCCAACAGTCAATGAGTATGAACTCAGTGACCTCTTGAATCACCAAGCCTTGAAATCGAGCAGGATAAAAGCACACCTAGTCCAAACTTCCTTCAGGGGCTCAGATCCCCTCTACAACACCACTTCCCACAGTGAACTTGGAGCTCACAAGACAAATTACTCCATTGCTAGTAGATCTACCAGCCTAATTCTGCATTTTGAGGTTCCCAATGAGCCTGTTAGGCATTTGAATACTGTTATTATTCCCATTTAAAAGACTACTGCGGTAGTCCAGGAGAGAAATAATGAGGGCCTATAGGAAAGAGGGAATAGGAAGAAGATAGGTTTGAGAAACACTGAAGGAATAAAATTGGCAGCACTGGGAGACTGACTAGGGGAGGCGTCATGGGTACCTCCCAGAACCCAGATTCTTTAGACAACACATTCATCATCCAACAGAAATTAAATTGGGTGAACTTCAAATTGGCAAGCATGTTATAAATGCCGTAATCAAATAATTATTAAGAATGTGGACTGGGCCAGCAAGAAGGACAGAGGCCTTCAACAAGTTACAGTTGGCTCCCTGCTCCCCTCTGTCCCCCACCCCATGCCAAGCTCTAACCAATTCATTTGCCAGCTCTCTTTGGGTTTAGTCATTCTCCAGTTATGAATCCTCCTAACTTTACCATCTGTCTACACAATTTTATCTACAAGGACGTCAGGATAGACTTCATCCAATGCCTTGCTGAAAATCGATATTTCATAACTCAGTGAACACTACTGACTTCTGGAAAACTATCACGAACATAATAAAAATGTAAAAGATTAAGGTAACAGTTGGAAAAAACTTACATGAAATTTGAAAACATCGTATAGGCTTGCAATAATCCAGGAATTAAAAATATAGAATATTCATGTTATATATCAAATTGTTTCAAAAAGAAGTTCGCCCCAAGAGGCAAAGTGGGGGCTCAGGCTCCAAAGGGACTGTGCCCCATGGAGGCCACTGCCTACCATCTGCAGTTGCAGACATACCTCTGCTCTTAATTCAGACTCTGCAAAAAGTTCAAGCAGGAGGGCAGCCATCTTTACAAAGCAGCAGGAAAACCCCATGGAATTTGGATCCTCAACCATTGTATCATCATCTCTACTTTCAATGCCTAAAAACCTAATCCTGATATAATTTACTAGTGAGAAGACCACACTAGGTACCACTTCCCCATCCTTCCCACTTCCCTGTATTTCCCACCCACTGCTGCCTGAGGACAACACTACATTAAAAAGGAATTTCATTTGTTTGGCACAAAGTCAGAAATATGGCTCAGAGATCTGCTCTTTAAAACATAATTAAAAACAGGAAGAACTATCTAGGCTATTCTGGATAATTTTCAGAGGAACCTGTTATCTGAAAGAGAGATAATCCAGACAGTGTATAGTCTGCTGGACTCAAGAACTGGGCGCCCAGACTCACTTGCTTTCTCTAGGCCCTTGAGGAAGGATGACATCATCAAGAAGCCAGGGACTGAAGGCACTGTCCCAAAGAGGGGAGCGATGGGGGACATGACTAGAAAGGACTCCTTTGAGACTTGTTGGCCTATATTGCCTGTAGAGTTCAATATAATTCCATAAGCATTTATTGAACATATATTAGGTGCTTGGGGAGATATAGACATTCAGAGCTGAGAAAGAAAAATTATCTGCTGAAAAGGGCTTTAAAGCTAATGGGACATTGTTTCCACGTCTTGGACACCGCGAATAATGCTATAATTCAATAGATGATTAGATAAAGACGATGTGGTACATGTATACAATGGACTGCTACTCAGCTATAAAAAAAGATGAAATACTGCCATTTGTGACAACATGGATGGATCTTGAGATAATCATGCTAAGCGAAATAAGTCAGACAGGGAAAGTTGAGAACCATATGATTTCACTCATATATGGAATATAAAACTGAAAGCAATAAACGAACAAGACAAAAACTCACAGATATAGACAACAGTTTAGTGGCTACCAGAGGGAAAGGGGAGGGGGGAGGTAGGTAAGGGTAAAGGGGGTCAAATATGTGGTGACGAAAGATTTGACTTTGGGTGGTGAACACACAATGCAATATACAGATGGTGTATTATTGAATCGTACACTTGAAACCTATATAATTTAATTAACCAATGTCATCCTGATAAATTTAATTTAAAAAAGACAAAAAAACTAACGGGGGATAAGGACAACTACAAAAATTAAAAAATGTTTAGTGCCCTAAAATTGTTAGTGAGAAAAGCTGACAATTGTTGAGTATTTATGTGCCATGCACTATAGAATATAGTATACCCATTTTTCAATGCTATGAACAATTACTTTTAGAACTGATACTTGTTGAGTATTAGAAGCACTTCGGTATGTATTAACTCATTGACAAAGTAGGCGCTATTATTATTCCCATTTTACAGATGAGGAAACAGAGAAGTTAAGCTACTTGCCCAAAGTCACACAGAAATTGGTAGGTAAAAAGAATATAAAAGCCACAAGAATGACCAAAAGGAATGCAATGGGCATTTATTTTCTATTGGAAGAATTTAAAAAATAAAAAAAAAAGGGCTTTCAGGAGGGAACAAAATTTAAGAAGGGCCCTGACGCCTACCCGGAAGTGCTTGACTGGGAGAGGAACAGGTAAATGCTCCCAAGTTTGAGTAGAAGAGTGAGCTGCTAATAGGTTTGTTGAATTACTGTGTCAACAGAGGAGCAGCAGGAAAGGTTAGGGCAGAGTCAAAAGCTAGGAAGTTATCAAATGACATTCATTTAGGCACTTTCTCCAAACTACTGCTTAGAAAAAAATAATCTCTGTTGTGCAGCTACACCCAAAGAAATGTCCTAAAGCTGTTGTTCAAACATCATCTAAATGGCTTGATAAGTTTAGATTGCTGCCTGAGCCTTATCCTCAGAGTTACTGATTCAGGAGGTCTGGAGTTGGGGGCTGATAATCTGCATATCTAACAAGCTCACAGGTGATGCTGCTGCTGTTGGGCCAGATACTTTGAAAACCACTGCCCTCAGGTGATAGTTCTTAGCCAGATGCTATTAAAAACACAGGTGCCTGGATCCCACTCTTGCAGAGTTTGATTCAGTCGGTTTCGAGGTAGGCACAGACATTTGAAAGCTTTGGACTCCAATAGGTAATTCTGCTGAGAACCACACTCCTAAAATCTGACTCCTAGGGTTTATGTGTGGGTAGGTAGGGTTGCAGTTCCAAGCAGAACACAGCTGATTTCAGCCCAGTACCATAGTGAAGAACTAGAAAATTTACCACACCCCATTTTTTCTTACAAATAAAAACACCAAAGGAGGAGAAGTCCTCAAGGATTCAAAAGAATGAGTAAGCCCTGTAAAGGCCCCTGGAAGGCAAGGCAGTCTTCGATGCTGGCCTGCTATGCACAGGTTCTGTTTTAGGTCTAGGGTGTAGCAGTGAGTCAGAAAGACGAGGCTCTGCTCCCAGGGTGTCCCATTTAGGTGGGGACCACAGAACATTCCCTAGTTTGTTTTTTTCTCTACCTTTCTTGGAAAACCAAGTGTTCCAATGAAAGAATGAAGTCCCTCCTTTAATGACACTGTCTTGTTTTTCGTAAATTAGATGACTTTTGCAAACTCTTATAGTTGGAGTTTTTACCAGCCATCCTTGTTTGCAAAGTCTTTGGATTTTTCCTGTCAGTGCAGTCATTTTAGTCACCCAAGTATGTGTGGCTGATTCTAAACATCCACTTTTCCCTCATTTTTGTTTTTTTTTCTTTTTCAATTTTCAGTTTTTGAAATTAACTTTTTTTTTCTTCTTAAAGCAAGCATATTTCTAGCTTTCAAATGAATGGCTTAACGGCTAGAATCACTTGGAAGGACAATGCCTCCTGCTGTGCTATGTCCTGGTTGAAAGGAGAAATAATTCCCAAGTTTGAAATTCAAGACCGATAAAATGTCGAAAACAATGTGGTGGACAGGTATAACTTGACAATTTTTTATTTTGTAAAGATGTTAAAAACCTGCCTGATCTATCATTTCATGAAAGAAAAATTTTCTTAACGTCAAAAAAAAAAAAAAAGGAAAAAGAAAAGAAAATTCATATTGTCATCATAAGGGACAATTCTTTAAAGAAGTCTGGCTTTAAGAAAAATTTGCTATGGTGCCATTTTGCTATAGTTTCATCGTGAAGCGTCACCAGGGACCACCATTAGGGAACTGCAGCTTTGGAGAAGTTGATAAAAGTTTCCTGAGGATGATCTGTTTGGATAGCATGACTACCTTGAACAGAGATTTCCTAGGGAGGAACCAAAGGGACTTTGCCGAGTCCCTCAGGACAATGAGCACAGTGTCTGTGTAAAGAAGCACAGTGCCCTATTCACACAATTCCCTCTGGTAATCTCAGATATGTTATTTTAGCAGTTCTTGGTTCCCTTGGCAAGTTGCAGATTTTAGTGTTATGTCTGCAAGTTTAACAGTGATTGCTAAACTAACTGGATTTCAAAGCTGCCATTCCCTAACCAGCCAAGATAGGGCGCTAACATCAACCTGGCTGCTGAAAAAGGATTTAAAAGCAGCACACAACTTGAGCAGGGACAGCACCATGTTTCCCAAATCCTGTTTTATTATTTAGGGAAGTCTGTCTCCACCCTAGAGGAGGCACAAAGCCCCAAAGGGCAGGCCTGTGGGTCATTCGTCTTTAATTTTCTAGTTACACATACAGCTTTGTGAAAATTTATTTTCAAAATATCAACATAATCTTA